TTAGGGTTTAGGGTTTAGGGTTTAGGGTTTAGGGTTTAGGGTTTAGGGTTTAGGGTTTGGGGGGTAAACCCTAAACCCTAAACCCTAAACCCTATTTTTGTTGAAATCGTTAACTTAGGGACCTTCTTAAATATGCTCTGCATACAACCTAAACCCTAAACCCTAAACCCTAAACCCTAAACCCTAAACCCTAAAACTGAGTTTATCTTCATAGAGACAACAGATAGAAAAACACCTCTTGCTGCTGCTGCTGCCGTTGCTGCTGCTGCTGCTGCTGCTGCTGTTGCTGCTGAAAATGATGATATACTGCTAGGGGCGGCTTGGGGTGTACATGCAGCTGTCTGTACACCGCAGAGGCACGGGCTACAATATGCGCTGCTGAGGGTTTAGGGTTTAGGGTTTTGTTGCACAGCTGAGGGTTGAGGGTTTAGGGTTCCGCAGCTCCCTGCATATGAGTAGGGCCCAGGACTGACAGCAGCTAGCCACAGCTAGCTACAGCTAGCTGTAGCTAGCCATGGCTAGCTACAGCTAGCCACAGATATCCGTAGCTAGCCGTAGCTAGTCGTAGCTAGCCGCAGCTAGCCACAGCTAGCCATGGCTAGCTACAGCTAGCCACGGGTAACAATAGTTAGCCACAGCTAGCCACGGCTAGCTACAGCTAGCCACAGCTAGCTACAGCTAGCCACAGCCAGCTACAGCTAGCCACAGCCAGCTACAGCTAGCCGCAGCTAGCCGCAGCTAGCCACAGCTAGCCACAGCTAGCTGTGCTTGGCTGGGGCTACTCCCCAGATAAAGGGAGGGTTGGGGTGTACATCCACTGAAGGGTTTAGGGTTTAGGGTTTAGGGTTTGTGTTTAGCGTAAAAACCCTAAACCCTAAACCCTAAACCCTAACCTTGCCTTTCGAAGCCTAGCCGCAAACCACAAACCCTAAGCATCGGCGGCTGATGGTTTACGGTTCTCATTGTTTAGGGTTTAGGGTTTAGGGTTTAGGGCTTAAACCCTAAACCCTAAACCCTAGACTTAAACCCTAGCTATACGCCTTGCGTTCAAAACCCTAAAGAGCTGAAAACCCTAGAGAGCTGACGCTAAACCCTAAACCCTAAACCCTAAACCCTAAACCCCCAGAAGTTGTCGCTAGTAAACCCTAGCTCTGCGGCCTGTACTATTAAACCCTAAACCCTAAACCCTAAACCCTAAACCCTCGCTCCTAGCCTCCTGTCTAAACCCTAGCACTATAAACCTAACCACAATTTCTAAACCCTAACACTAAACCCTCAACACTAAACCCTAAACCCTAACCCTAAACCCTAAACCCTAAACCCTAAACCCTAACAACAAACTCTAAACCATACCCTTAAACAAAACCCTAAATACAAACCGTAAACACTAACCCTAAACCCTAAACCCTAAACCCTAAAACCCTAGCTAAAGCTCTGCGTGTATTGCCTGGCCTTCCACCGTCTTGAGGGTTTAGGGTTTAGGGTTTAGGGTTTAGGGTTTAGGGTTTAGGGTTTAGGGGTACGGTCTTCCTGTGTATTCCTTAATCTATTGGCTTCTATAAAAAGTAAAAAGACAAAATAAAACAAATAAATAAATTAATTTATATTTATATTACTCTTATATAAATATAAATATATTATACACACAAAAAAAAAAAAAAAAAAAAA